AAAAAAAAAAAGATGTTCCTCCACATAACATGAAGAGGTACCTGGAGATCCCTCACTGACTCCCTTCCTCCCACCCTGCCGCTGGGATAACTGTCACCTCTGTGTGGACAGTTGACCTCCTCTCTCTACCTTGATCAGTCCTGGCCCTCATCACAGGCTCATTTTCCGCCGCGCCCCTTCCTCCAAGAAGGCCCCCAGATCACTCCCACTCAGCTTTCTCTTGTCTTGGGACTCCTGGAGTGCATTGTGCCCCAGTTGATGCTAGAATGTTCTAGAATGTTCCAAGTCCTGACTCTGGTTGCTGTAGCCCAAAGCCCCAAGGACCTGGTGCCTGCCCTTGTGCTGGAAACTGGAATATCCTTAAGGCTCGGCTCTCTGCTTGCTCAGGTGTCTGTTCTTTCAGCATGTATTTAACCAGTGCTCACTATGTGCAAGGCGTCGGGGTACAATGGTGGACCAGATAGAGGGGCCCCTCCTCTCAGACAGCTTTACATTTGTGCCACTGACAAGCTGTGGGACCTCGAATGGGTCACACAACCTCTCTGGAGCCCCAGTTTCCCAATCTTTAACACAGGTGACCCAGACCTACTTTGGGCGCCTTTGTACGAGGCTCAGCTGAGATGGTAAAGCCAGGGTGGTGTTCCTCGTTTGAGAAAAATGGGATCCTGCCTCACAGGTCAGTATGGGGACATCACATGTAAGCCCATTGCCCTGGCACTGTCCTGACTCAGCCACTGTCCTGTCTTACCTGGTGGCTGTGTCAGTCTAGTCCATGGGTCTCCTGGCTCCCATGGGTGTCTCACGCCATCCATTCTCCATGCAGCTGCCTGAGGGGTCTTTCTGAATTGTAGATGTTTCTAAAGGTTCATCCTTGCTCAAATCGTGGGCAGCTTTCCCCACCCCTCCTCCCCCCTACCCCGCCCTGGCGGTAAAGCCCTTGACCTGGCACCCTCTGTTGGCTGTGGAGCTGGCAATCCTGAGCTGGGCCACTGGGGGGCGAGCTGGGCACACAGGATGCTTAAAGGCTGTCGACTAAGGCGTCTGGGGATCACCTTTGGTTCCTTGAATGGAGTGAACTGATTTCAAACTGGGGACTTGTTATCTGTGGTCCTCAGCCTATCTCTGGGAACTCGTAACCCCTAGAAGCTGTATTTTATTCTGGGAAGCATTTCCTCAATAGTCTTCAGATTTTCAAAGGGATCTTAATCTCTCTCCAAGAGGACTGGGAATAAAGATGACATACCTGAAATAAAAGCCAGGGTCCCATGACATTTGCTGTCCCTTAGCAGGTGATAGAAGGGTCTCTGGCCTTGGAAACTGGCTACCTGCAAGCCAATCCCTGCTCTGCCCAAGGTGCGAGGTGGCATTAACAACTCATA